AAACCAAATGTACTATGCAGTACTATTACTCACAACGCTGTGGCGGAGCGACAGTTCCTCCCGGAGTGTGTCCTACACACATACATAATTCACAAATTAGTTCTTTTCCCTTTTAAATCATTTTATGATTCCTTTTGTTTCCAATGAATTTACAAACATCTTAAGAACATCAAATAATTATTTTAATAATATCATAGGGTCAAACAGGGATAACGGAGTGGTGGAACGTTTTCAGCATGGGCCGCACGTGCGGTTGTGAGCCCCGTACGTGCCTTTTTTCCAGTAGCCAAAGACCTAAAATTCTTGGTTTCCGCATGTGCGGCCATGACCTCCGCACGTGCTGCAGTGCTCCTGCACGTGCGGCCATGACCCCCGCACGTGCGGCGATTTGCCCTGTTTTGCAGTCTAAAATTCAAGCAACATAGCCACTTTGATAAACATTTACAAAACTCAAAATAGGTCCATTAATTGCAAGAATATGGCCCAAGAATCATGTAAATAGGAATCACAAACATATATTAATCTGAATATGAATTAAATCTTTAATTCCTTGAAACTCGTAAACATAACTTGCTTCTATGATATTTCCAACTTCCGCACACACACACACACGCACACGCACACACACACACATAACCATTTGTTCATATAGATGGGTTAAATCTTGATTATTGAAGAAATAAGATGTAATTTCTCACTAGATAATTCAAGTTGAGTCAAAATAACTAAATGATGAGATTATCTTGCTAATTATCCAATATACACATACAAGATCTCAATTGCAACCCTAGGTCATACAATATCAAGGAATTCCTACTCCAAATCAAGAAAAGGGGTCGAACTAGGTGGATTAAACTCACCTTGAACTTCAATCTCTAGATACTTTCTCAATTTTTTTTCCCAATTCCTTCCTTGTTGAACTTCTCCTCTTCCTCTAAAACCCTCCTCTTCTAATTCTCTGTCAGGAGATATCTTGAGTTAAAGATCATAAGTCAAATATCTAAGGAATTAACTATATATAGAAAAAGTGAATAAAACAAAAATCAATCAGTTTAATCATTCCAAATCAAAATTTCACAGAAAATCATATTATGACTTAAAAATCTTGCTGATCCCAAATATAGAATCAATTTCAGATTATCAAGCCTCTAGGGCGTTCAATTTCTGATCTGAACATTACAACTATAATAGATATTTCTCTTAGGAAACAAATATGAATCTCTAATCATAAGATTAACTCAATTAAACTTAATTTCACATGAAATTTCATAGTAAACACATAAAGGCTCAGAGTAAGGGACTAAAAGTATACCAAAAACATATACGAGGGTCAGGTTATTACATACTTGTATAGTCTACTTGCAGACACCGACCTAGGGATAGCCAGAGTTGTATTTACCGCCCCTGAAATAAATTGAGCATGATGGTTTTCAAAAGATGAAAATGTGATTTATCTTCAAAAAGGGCATAGCGTGGCATGTGCATTTTATCTCTTGAGATTTGTATAAAATGTATATACTTTGTTAAGGGTTTCATACTGGGCATTATGCTCACCCTATGGGATTTTTGTGCAGGAAAAGATGTGGTGATGCCGCCTAACTAAATGCGAGGAAATGTGTGTTGAGAGTACGAGACTCTCATTTTACTGTGACTCTGTGTGTAAGCCAAGGGCTGTATGTGTGTGGGTTTGAATAATCATTTTGTGTAACCAGGCTCAAGCCTTTGAAACTTGTAAACCTTTAGTGTATTTATTTGTTTAGTTACTCGTTGTTGGATTAATGTATTGTTGCATGACGAACTATTGTATCATGTAATGTAAGTTTGTAGATTTATATTTGGTTTTTCCTTGAAGGAGCCATGATTGTTGTATTATCATTTGGGCTACAAATTTGGGGCGTTATACACTCAAAGTTTTGATCTTTTCTTTTCCAGTACCAATGAGTTTGTTTGAACTTATGATGTTGCGTTGAACTTAGAATTTACTCTTTCATCATATTTTTGTAAGTTTTAAGCCTAGATTTGTTCAAATTTGGGTTTGATTTTTGAAGGATTGAAGCTCCAAAGTAGAGCAAAAATTTTGGTTTTGGAACACCCAGAACCGCACGTGTGGCATGGGGAACCACACATGCGGGAGGCAAGGCCGCACGTTCGGTGGGGAGTGTGATGGCCGGGACATAATTCGTCTCGTTCCTCTTTAAGTTATGCCAGGTACGTTGTTGTTGAAAGCTCCTTCTTAAAATCTTCATTTGTATTTAGTTCGATCCCGAGTACTTCACTTATTCTGGAGGGTACGAGTTCGGGTTTGGAGTGTTGGGAGTGGAGCTGAGAATTTTCTGGGTTGGGGGACCAGAGCCACACGTCCGGGGGTTTGGGCAGCACGTGCAGAGAGGGTTCGTACGTGCGGAAAGTAAGGGGTTGACTTGGGTGCATACCGAAATAAATGCACAAGAAGCAACAAGTGCGGGAGAGGGAGGGCCGCATGTGCAGGGATGAAGGATGCCCGTGCAGGAGGCATGCTCTGCACGTACGGGCATGAGTGTCGCACGTGCGGTGGTAGGTGTGTTTGCAAATTTTGTTTTTTCTTCTCTTTGGGATGATTGTATCGCACTTTTGTTGTATCTCTCTCTCTCTAAAAACTCTTTTCTCTCCCTTCTCTCTACATTTCCTACACCAAACAAGATCAGATCCTTGATCTCTTTAAATCCATTAGATTTTTGCCCATAGTTTCTTCTTCAAAGTTGGATAACTTCTTCAGGGCTTCATTGTGTGCTGTGGAGATCAAGTTTCCACAATGTTGATTTTGGGGGTTTCTTCCCTCTTCTTCTCCAAAGCTTGAGGCAGGGATTTTTCTTAGAGTTATATATATATTTTTGCAAGTTTATGTAAGTTTTGAGATTTCCATTGGTGGCATTGAAAATGTGGTTTCTGGCTCAAGAATACTGGTGGTTTTGAAAATGGGTTCACCTCTTGTGTTCTTTAAATGATTTTCTTGAAGATTTGAATCATATTGATTTAAGAAAGATGATTTTGGTTGGATTCCACCAAGGGATGAGGGAATGTCTAGTTTTGATGAAAAACCTAGAAATTTGGGGGTTTTTTTTGAAGATGTTGAGAATCTATGGATTTTCTTGTGCTAAATGAATGTATGAGTGGAAATTTCATATTATTGTTTGCAAAATGACAATTTTCTTGGTGTATGAGGATTTGGGGATTTTGTTTTGAACTTATTGTTTAAGTGTAAGTACTTATATAGTTATGAACTGGCAAATAGTTGACAACACATGAAATATGGAAACATTGCCACACTTGGATATATATATATATATATATATATATGCATATATGATATTTGATGAAATTGCATTGGAAAGAAAAATGGGAATTGTGATCGAAATGGAGGAATTGTGCGGAAAATATTGTTAATGGAAGATTATTATTTTGCTTTGGCATATATTGTATTGGCATTTCTAATATTGCATAGTTGCAATTTTTGAGTTGAGATTTGAAAACTTTTACATTGAGAAAGAAATGTTGTGAAATGAAACTTATTGAAAGGTTATGGGGTAAATACGTTGGTAAGTCCAGATAGGGGGTGTAGATGAAATTGATTAAGTTGGCCTGAGTGTCTGAGGTGAAAGACTTAAAACACGTGCGAATGAGGTACCATTTCCTTCCGGTTAGCAATTGGTAAAGTGGGGTTTTCATAGAGTTAGTTATGCCTACTTGCAGACACCAACCTAGGGATAACGGAGTCGTATTTACCACCCCTTGAATTAAATTGACAATTTATGCATTGTTGAGATTTCAAGATATCATTGAGTATAAATGATTTTCAAAAGATAATAATGTGATTTTCATGTCAAAAGCATATCATAGCATATGCATTCCTTTTTATGAGGCTTGTATAAAATGTATATACTTTGTTAAGAATTTCGTACTGGGCTTTACGCTCGTCCTATGGGATTTTGGTGCCGGAAAAGACGTCGTGAATCCGCCAAACTAGGGCGTAGATGTACGTATTGAGAGCATGAGGCTTTATTTTATTGTGACCATATTTTTGTAAGCCAAGGGCTATATATGTGTGGATTTGAGAAACCATCTTTTGTGTAACCGGGCTTAAGCCTTTGAATTTGTAAGCCCTTGAGGGCATTTATTTATTTTTGATTGAATGCTCTACATGCTATAGATTCATGTACTAGAATTCATTGAATGTATAACCGCATGTGGGATTATTTTGTAGAAACATTGAGATCATGTAATGGAAAGTCTTGGGGATAATTCTGTATCTCTTAAGAGCCATGGTTGTTATTATATCGATTGTATTTTTTTTGGGGCGTTACAACTTGGTATCAGAGCTATCGGGTTTGAATACTTGGAGCTTGTGGGAAGTGGTTGTTATACCACAGTGGGTTCATTTCACACGATTCGAAGATGTCTTGTGTTTTGTGACTATGTGATAACATGTTTATATGACTAGATGGGTATGGAATTGGACTTTTGGGATGTTGTTTGTGCCTATTAAATTCCTTGAGGTCTTATTAGAAGGGTACTTGATCAATAGTCATTTTACTAAGAATTCGTGGTTTTTCATGGGACAAATTTCATCACAAAAGAATAATCCGTATGTGCTTACGTGACTAAGTGCTTATGTGGAGTGAAATTAAATGTTTGTTTGGTAGACAAGTATATAGAATTATTATGGTCATACGTGTGAGGCTAGCTGTGAGCACATTTGGGATTATGTGCTAAATTATCTACCATGTTCCTTAATTAGGATGTTAGGAAGTGGTCAAGCTCGTGGTGGTAGAGGCGGGAGACGTGGTATGGCTCACCGGGGTGTGCATGAAGTACCTATTCATGAGGTCCCGGTGCAAGAGAAGGGATTCGGCCAAGCTAATGCGGCCGGACAAGCGGGCCAAGCTAACGTGGCCGAGCAAGTAGGACAAACAGAAATTCTAGGGCAAGTGGGACAGGCCGCAATAGGGCCCCTAGCCCGAGAAATGGCAGGGACTTTGAGGGAATCGATGAACATATTGAGGGCAGAGAACCAAACCTGGGAGAACGCCGTAGAGACAAGGGCAAATTTCCTTACTAGAGAGTTTTTGCAGGCCAAATCGGATGAGTTCCACGGTGGCCTTGAGCCTAAGAAAGCATATGAGTTGCTCGAGCAAACAGTGAAGACATTCGAGATGCTTCACATTGAGGATAGCAAGTTAAGGTTGACTCTAGTGATTTACTATCTGAAAGGGGATGTGAGACAATGGTGGAAGTACGCCAAGGGTCGAGTAGAGCCGACATGGGAAACATTTGTGGTAGCCTTTCAAGATAAGTATCTACCTCCCACTGCTAGGGAGAGGTTGAGGCAAGAATTTCAAAACCTTAATCAACTTAACATGTCGGTGGCCGAGTTTGAAGCAGCCTTCTCTAGTTTGTCCCAGTTTGCATCGGAGTTAGTGGCAACAAAAGAGTGCCGTTGCATTGAATTTGAGAAGAAGTTGAGAACCAAGATTTTGTTCAAGGTTGTTGGGAACATGATTCGGAACTATGACCGTCTTGTGGAGGCGGTGGCACATGTAGAGATTAGCGTGGAGGCCGATGAGGAGAGACTTCAGGGTTTGCGATTGAGGGGTCAAGGGTCACAGGGGGACTATAGACCCAACAAGAAGAGTAGGAACACTTTTTCACCTCAGTCCCAACCACAGCAATCTAGATCCACCTTTTATTTGCCTAGTGCAAGCCCGGGGAAGAATACACCAAGTGGTTTTCCATGTTTTAAGTGTGGCCAATCGGGTCATAAGGCCTTTTCATGCCTACAGAAGGGGGAGGATAGCAAATGTTGCCACCACCACCACCACCTAACCGATCCCAGAGTCAGTCTCAGAGTAGAGGGTAAGGACTTACTTGCTATCAGTGTTGTCAACTGGGGCACATGAAGAGGGTTTTCCCGCAGTTAGGAGGCGCATCTGGTGTATCATGGTCGAGGTAGACACAGGGCCACCAGCAGGCTCACTCAGTCCAGACTGCACAAGCTAATCAAGGAGCCGTTTCGGTTCAGTCAGTGTAGCAGGCCTATGCTCAAAGAGATGAGCAGGTTGATCAGAGGCCACATGGACGTGTGTATGTTGTTATCGCGCCAGAGCAGTTACCAGGATCCTCAGTTGTGAGAGGTATTTTTGTTGTGTGTAATTCCAGGTGCATCTTTTTCATATATATCTACTACATTTACTTCTGCATTGGGTTTAGAGGTGGCACGGTTAGCGTCTCTGCTCAGAGTAGAGTCACCAGTTGGGGGTACAGTTGACTTAGATCGGAGGTGTCCTGGATACAAGATAGAGGTTGTCAGGCGTCGACTTTGGTTTGCTTTTGTATTGTTAGACATGTCGAGTTTTGATACTATTCTAGGCATGGATTGGTTATCTTTGTACCGAACTGTGATTGACTGTTACTGTCAGAGAGTTACAGTGTGCACCTCGAGTGGTGACTGTTTTTATTTTCTGGGGGACCGGGTTGATGGGGTCTTGTCACTAATTTTTGACCCCGTAGTAGGAGCAAGCTTAGTGGCCTTGCAACTCTCTTGGATAGTGAGAGTGACGGGGCCCGTGTTGAATTGCCAAGGGTAGTTTGCAAATACCCGAATGTCTTTCCCGTGGATCTTACTAGTTTACCACCACGCTGGGAGATCGAGTTCTCCATTAACTTAGTGCCTAGCACGACACCGATTTCCACGGCGCCGTATAGATTTGCACCCGCCGAATTACCTGAGTTAAAGATTCAACTCCAGGAGCTTTTAGAGAAGGGCTTTATTCGCCCTAGTACATCGCTTTGGGGAGCGCCGGCTCCCTTTGCGAAGAAAAAGGACGGATCCTTGCGGTTATGCATTAATTACCGCAAGTTAAACCGGGTTACCGTTAAGAACAAGTATCCTTACCCAGAATAGATGATTTGTTTGACCAACTTAGAGGGTCTTGTTGCTCTGCCAAAAAAGATTTGAGGTGGGGGTATCATCAGTTGAGAGTCCATGAGGAGGACATTTAGAAAACGGCCTTTCGCAGCGTCATGGCCACTATGAATTTCTTGTAATTCCTTTTGGGTTAACTAATGCACCGGCTTCTTTTATGGATTTGATGAACCAGATTTTTTGAGAATACTTGGATCGTTTTGTGGTCGTCTTTGTAGACGACATCCTAATTTATTCAACCTCCGAGGAGGAACACGAGGCTCACTTGTGGGTAGTACTTGATTTTCTTAGGAAACACCAATTGTATGCCCAATTCGAGAAATGTGAATTTTGGTTAACTGAGGTGAAGTTTTTGGGGCTTGTGGTGTCGAGAGAGGGAGTAACTGAAGACTCCTCAAAGATAGATGCCGTGTAGGATTGGGGATAACCCAAAATTGTTTTTGAGATCTGGAGTTTCTTGGGATTGGTAGGGTATTATCGACGTTTTGTAAGGGACTTCTCTAGACTAGCCGCACCTTCGACTAGGTTGACTAGAAAAGGTGTCAAATTTGTGTGAGTGAGGCTTGTGAAAGGTCATTCCAAGAACTCAAAACTAGATTGACTACCGCATCGGTCTTGATAATTCCGAAAAGAGGTTTGGGTTGCACCGTTTATTGCGTTGCGTCTTGGGATGGGCTTGGTTGTGTCTTGATTCAAGGGGGAAAGGTTGTGGCCTACGGTTCACAATAATTGAAAACTCATGAGAAGAACTATCCCACCCACGACTTGGAATTAGCGGTAGTAATTTTTTCCTTGAAAATTTAGAGGCATTATTTGTATGGCGAGAAGTTTGAGGTTTTCTCCGATCACAAGAGCCTAAAGTATTTTTTTTTTCTAAAAAGACTAGAATTTACGCCAACAGAGATGGATGGAGTTTATGGAGGATTACAACTTTGAATTACACCATCACCCGGGGATGGCCAATGTAGTAGCCGATGCTTTGAGTCAGAAATCGGTGAGAAGCTTGGCAAGTGTGGCCATTCGGGAATAGATTATGCTTGGTGATATCAGCAAGTTTGATTTGCATTTGGGTGAGTTCGGTGAGAGTGCAACTTTGTTCACTTTGAGTGCTCAACCTACCTTGATTAGTAAGGTCATAGAGGCGCAACAAGGAGACCGTGAAGTAGAGTCAATTCGTGATAGAATTTCCAACGGGAAGGAAGAAAAGGGTTTAAACATTCACTCGGATCTAAGTGTACATTATCTAGACCATTTGCTTATACTAGAATCTTGTAGAAAGGACATACTTCGGGAGTTCCATCACTCATGCCTTGCAGTACATCTGGGAGGCACCAAAATATATCATGATCTTAGTCGTCAGTTTTGGTGGAGGGGTATGAAGCGGGATGTCGCTTTATTTGCATCGAGGTTCCTTACTTGTCAACAAGTGAAGGCTGAACACCAAAGACCAGCAGGTTTGTTACAACCCTTACCGATAGCCGAGTGGAAGTGGGAGCACGTTACCATGGATTTTGTAGTTGGGCTTCCTAGAACACAGCGAGGCAATGATGCCGTTTGGGTAATTGTTGATAGGTTGACTAAGTCTATGCATTTCATTATGATGCACACCAACGACTCAGTTGAGCATTTGGTAGAGTTGTGCATTAGAGAAATAGTTTGACTTCATGGAGTTCCTGTAACCATCATGTTGGATAGAGATCCTCGTTTTACTACCCGGTTGTGGCAAAGCCGTCAGGAGGGGTTAGGTACTAAGTTGACCTTTTGCACCACTTATCATCCTCAAACCGACAGACAGTCGGAACACACTATTTAGATTTTGGAGGACATGCTTAGAGCTTGCATCCTTGATTTTAAGGGGTCATGAGAGAGGCACTTACCATTGATTGAGTTCGCCTATAACAATAGTTATCAAGCTAGCATTGAGATGGCAGCATTTGAGGCCTTGTATGGCCGACCTTGTAGATCACCGGTTTGTTGGGCCGAGGTGGGTGATGCACCGTTGTTGGGTCCAGAAATTGTTAGAGGCGATCGCGAAAGTTGCTCTCATTCGGAAGAGGTTAGCTACGGCTCAAAGCTGACAAAGGAGTTATGCCGATAAGAGGAGACAACCTTTATCTTTCGAAGTTAGTGACCATGTGTTTCTTAAAATCTCACCAAGGCGGGATTTGATGAGATTTGGTAACAGTGGTAAATTGTCTCCGAGGTTCATTGGGCCTTTTGAGATATTGGAGAGAATTGGGGAAGTGGCATACCGGCTAACTTTACCGCCACAACTGTTGGGGGTTCACAATGTGTTTCATGTATCTATGCTTAGGAAGTATGAGCCCGACCCATCTTATGTACTTGATTGGGTTGATTTGGAGGTAGATAAGGATGCCTCTTACGAAGAACGACCAGTCCAAATACTAGACACCCGGGAGAAGTGCTACGTGGTAAAACTATACCGTTCGTAAAGGTGTTGTGGAGACACCATAGGGTTGAAGAAGCAACTTGGGAACAAGCGGAGGTCCGCTCCAAATATCTGGATTTGTTTGGAAATGCTTAGTTGTTTTAATTTGTAATATTCCCTAGTGTTGGAGGGAAATGTATCAAAAGTGTTGGTTTTATGTTGTTATATGTATTGCTATTTTAAACATGAAGTTGTTGTGGATTGATACCTTGCTAGATAGTTTCATACTTATGTTGCCATAAGCAGTTGTTGTTATTGAGGTAGTCAGGGTGGTAATAGTAAATGCTGGTTCAAGATCTATTTTGTGATTTGAAATTGTAACAAAGTGGTAGTAATTCCTAGAAACGCTTTGTTCAAGTAGTTGATTTAATTTCAGGGACAAAGTTTCCTATGGTGGGGAGGTTGTGATGACCAATATGCAATTCGTCTCATTCCTCTTTAAGTTATGCTGGGTACGTTATTGTGGAAAGCACCTTCTTAAAATTTTTGTTTGTATTTAGTTCGATCCCGAGTACTTCACTTATTCCGGAGGGTGCGAGGTCGGGTTCGGAGTGTCGGGAGTGGAGCTGAGAATTTTTTAGGCTGGAGGACCAGAGCCGCACATGCACGGGCTTGGGCCGCACGTGCGGAGAGGGACCGCACGTGCTAGAGGTGAGACTACACATGCGAAAAGCAGAGGGGGTGGCCTGGGTGCATACTGAAATAAATGCATGAGAAGCAGCAGGTGCGGGAGAGGAAGGGCTGCACGTGCGGGGATGAAGGCCGCACGTGCAGGCATGGGTGCCGTATGTGCGGTGGTAGGAGTGTTCGACAATTTTGTTTTTCTTCTCTTTGGGATGATTGTATCTCAGTTTTGTTGTATCTCTCTCTCTCTAAAAACTCTTTTTCTCTCCCTTCTCTCTACATTTCCTACACCAAATAAGATCAGATCCTTGATCTCTTTAAATCCATTAGATTTTGGCCCATAGTTTCTTTTTCAAAGTTGGATAACTTCTTCAGGGCTCCGTTGTGTGCAGTGGAGATCAAGTTTCCACACCGTTGATTTTGGGGGTTTCTTCTCTCTTCTTCTCCAAAGCTTGAGGCAAGGATTTTTCTTAGAGTTATATATATATTTTGCAAGTTTATGTAAGTTATGAGATTTCCATTGGTGGCATTGAAAATGTGGTTTCTGGCTCAAGAATAATGGTGTTTTGAAAATGGGTTCACCTCTTGTGTTCTTTTAATGATTTTCTTGAAGATTTGAATCATATTGATTTAAGAAAGATGATTTTGGTGGGATTCCACCAAGGGATGAGAGAATGTCTAGTTTGGATGAAAAACCTAGAAATTTGGGGGTTTTTGGAAGATGTTGAGAATCTATGGATTTTCTTGTGCTAAATGAATGTACGAGTGGAAATTTCATATTATTGTTTGCAAAATATCAATTTTCTTAGTGTTTGAGGATTTGGGGATTTTGTTTTGAACTTATTGTTTAAGTGTAAGTACTTATATAGTTATGAAATGGCAAATTGTTGGCAACACATGAA